GATGAACTTCACCGTGTGGACCCCAACGCCTTGATAAATATATAAATATGAGCAACCATTCATCCATCCCCTAGACCATCATTAATTCACTCACAAGTTCCAATTGCATGCTTAATTTTCAACAGATAGTAAGAAAGACCCTGAAAAAAATTCCGCCCATTTTGTTAAAAGGGATTCAATCTTAGTACTTCTTACCAAGATTCTTCTTCAAATAATGAGGCCTTCTTTTGTAGTCTTTATATTTCTTTTGTCTCTCTTCCTAACTAAGGCTCAAGGTAAGTACTATATTTTCATAAGCAGCACTTCATTTAGTCCTTCTTTTACATACATAGCAACTGGATTTCTAATGTCAGATATGTTTTTGTTTAGGGATTCGCTTGGAGAAAGGGTCTTTTGTAGCTCAGCAACATAAACAACATGTTAGTGATCATTACTTTGAAGTTTTATACATTCATGTCTCTATAAATGTTAATCTTCATTTATATTTCTTTCGGTGTTAATAGAAAGATATTCATTTCTGATTGCAGGATGAAGAAATTAATTTATTCAAAAGAAATAATAGTGGTGAAGAGGAAGCTATTCTCTGCAAAGATGAACAATGCACAGGTACCATGAAGAAAAGATTCTCTAGAGTACTATCCAGAAAACAAAACAACCAGTTGCCCCGCGTTCATGAAGATTACTATGGACCTAGACATCATACACCCAGCCACCATTAGTTTTACTATCCCATAAATTCATTTCTCTTTGTTCCTCCTTATGATAATACAAAGCATTCTTTCGAACCTTACAAACGAGACCATGTAACTCTTGCTGCAAATTTGCACCCCAAAAGTCCTATAATGACATCTAATTTTGTGGTTATTAAAGAAAAATGACTTATACAATATGTATTTTCTTGTTCTGGACTAAAACTATACAATATATTATTAAGTATTATGCAAGAAATTGTAGTACTATATAACCTCCACTATACCACAATATTATTAATTAGTATCCTGGGTGTTCTAATGTTGCTGCAGGAAACATAAAGAATAGGAAACTTGTTACCGCATCATCTTCTACTACCCACGCATTATCAAAGGTTGGTTTACAGATAAAAAAAAAGGGGGGGGGGGGGGGGGGGGGGGGTTATATGTTTGGTTGTTAATTCGGATGTTAAATGAAACCTTGGAATTTCTTCCTTTCCTCTTTGTGATTTATATATATATACATATGCTTCATGGACAGAATATGAAGAATGGAGGGGAAGAAGAGGAAATAAAAGTAAATACATTGGCTACTTCCAAGCTTCAAGGCCTTTCTCAGGAGCACTATCCAGACCTAGTAGACATAGCTGAGATGGATTATTCTCCAGCTAGGAGAAAGACTCCTATTCACAACTGAGTCTTGGGATGATCAACTAGAAAAAAACAGACAGTTTCAGTTTTAACATAAATAAAATATAGGACAGCATTACAGAAATGCTGCAGTTTTTCAGGCTTAAGAATGATTTGTACATCATATATTTTATCATCTATATATCCATTATAATATACTTTTAATAACATTTTTTATGATTGGAATCATGAGTACTGTGTGTGTATTTTCTTAGCTTCTTAATCTAGTCTCTTTAGACTTTACTAGCTGATAATTTGACTAGAAAAAGTTAAAAAATGAGCAAGAAAATGGAATGAGTTTTGTTTATTCATAGAAGTGTGTCTTTCTTCCAACTCAAAAGAAAACAACGGATCAAAAAGGCCAGGGCAAATAAGTTTACCGCGGCTCCAAGTCTTGCTTTTAAAAAAATGGATCAATTATTCCAAAAATACCATCAGTAGCTAGGAAGGCATATATACTTATTGCTTATTTAAAATCTCTCCATAACCCAAAGTTCATATATACAACGCATATAGACTATGGAATAAATAATGAAACCAATATTTAGTTATTTGTGCAAGAGTTTTTTTCTTTGTTTTTTTTTTTTTATATATAATGATGACAATAATGTTCGAATCTATAACCTTATATCAATTATCCAAATTCCACATTACTAACCCACTTCTAATAGATTAAAAAGAGTTTTTTTTTTTTTTTTTTTCAGTACACACCATTTAACCTTCCCAAGAGGTCTGGCTCCTCCACATTAATTGTAAGAACACGTGGGGGACCTACTTGAAATTAAGGAAGGGGATTTGTTGTTGTAGGTATGCAGTTTTAATTTGACTAAGGCCATGTTGCAGTGCTCTACACAACTAACTGGGGACAGCATGTTTCACATATTGATTCCATTGTTATGAAGGGTCATTCTTGCATGAGGATTCACGTGTTATGTCATTCATGTGGACTGTTGTGGTCCATTTTGGAGCTGAGATTGTGTTCGACCACGACAAAAGGAGATACATTTATATTACTGGTGATTGTTGCCTGTTGAGACTAGGGACAATAATCCCTTCGACAAATTTATGGCCAGTTGTGGAGACAAGATGAGGTAGGAGCAGTGTCGGATATAGGAATTTTTCCTGTGCGGGCCTAAAAATTAAACATTTGTTTCTCTTTTCAAACATAATATATGGGAGGCCAAAATACGAAAAATTAAATATTTGTACCTGTTTGGATCTTCTTCTTTTTTAAGCTAGAAGCTATTGGAAAAAATTCTTATAATGAAAAACTCTTTTTTAAGCTCTTATATGTTTTTTTTGAATTGTGTGTTTTTTTTTTTAAATGAAGAGTTATAAAGATAAAAAAAGAGATAATTTTCTTGAAATATGTGCTTTTAAGCTAATTTTTTTTTGTAATTATCCAACAGCTTTTAACTTTTTTTTTAGCTTTAGCATATTTCGTTAACTTTATTGGAGGGAGAAAAAATGCAGTCAGAGTTAGAGGGGTTTCAATAGATATAGGACATGAGGATACAAAGAGGCTCTATAAATTTTGTGGTGGGAGAAAACTACTTCACATTAATGGAGATAAAAAATGAAGATTTCTTTCATTATACGTATGTTAAAAAGATTTCTTCAAATTTTGGAGGGAGGGGGCGACCGCCAACCATAGCACCCCCTGGGTCCGTCCCTGGGTAGGAGGGGCAATCGCCCCCTCAAGTTCATTAAATATTTGTCTTAATTAGACTTAAATAAAAGCTAATATGAAGAAAATTTGGAGAGTTATCTAAATCTAACTACATATCATCCCACTATCATATTGTCCTGTCTTAGTTAGATTAAATTATGATTTCCTCGTCACTTTCACAAAATGTTTTGACTCCACCATTTTTTATGACACCATAATTTCAGGGCTAGTGGTGTACTTTTGCCTTCGGTGCATCAAATGGGTAGTGCCTAAACTAGAAACTAGAAAAAGTCCTTTCCCTAATTGGATGTGCTACAATCATGGGGAGGGGCACAATTTGTCACAATCAAATTCTTGCACCTCAAATGACTCTTATTGTATTTTGTATATGACCGGTGGAGCTATCATTGAAATTAGGGGTGTTTGTGGTCTGGATTGGATCGGTTTTGGAAGTAAAAATCATCTGATCCAATCCCTTCGGTTTGATCATATAATAATCCATTCGGTTTGGATTTTTTTTCAAATCCGATCCGATCCAATCCAATTTTTTCCGGTTTGGATTGGATCGATTTTCGGTTTTTTGAAAATTCTAAAATTTATTTCATGATTATTGTGCAAATAACATCTTTTGCATATATTGGCTTTGTAAAAAAAAAATTTGAAATACAAAAGCATTACTAAACTATAATATAGTTTTTTTTAGCAATGAGATATGAAGCTCTACAAAGATAAGATTTTGTTGATAAGATGTGACTTAATTTTTTCTTGGGTTTAGTTGATGGATTAATGAGTATTGGATTTAGAAATTTTTATGCTATGATTAGGGAAAAACCCAAGTAGGTAGAGGAGAATTAATATATTTGATCGGTTTAGATTAAATCGATTTTCATCAACCCATCCAAAAACCGATCCAATCCAATTAAAATTTGCGGTTATTTTTCGATTTTTGGTTTTTCGGTTTTCGATTTATTCGGTTATCGGTTATCGGTTTTTCGGTTCGGTTACTGTGATTTGAATCGGTTGATGAACACCCCTAATTGAAATGTCGAAACCTACTAATGTGCCATATTCGGTAAAGTCAACCGCTACAAGAGACTCGAGAGTCAAGACAAATAGACAATAATGTTTTGAGACTCATGTATTTTTATTTTATTTTATTTGGCTACTTAGTAAAACAAATTTTGGTTCTCATAAAAATTGACTTCTACTGTCCTTTAGCAGAGAAGTGACTTTGCCGTTAAAATTTATGATTGAATAAATATTTTACACAAGCATTTTTTTAATTATTTTTATGTAACATCAGTAATTTTTAACAATATTTAAAAAAACTACCCATATAGAGTAGAAACATCAGTAATTTTTACTCTTCTCAATTTCATTTTGTTTCCTTTAAAATGTTTTCGATGATTAATAATGAATATAAAATTTTTTATATTTATATTAATGTAAGTTAATCTGCTAGCTATACCTATATAACGGGTTACACTTTCAATTTTAATTCTTAACGCCGCATGTATCTAACGACTCACGTGATTACTAAGTTAGAGCTATTAGAAGTGAGATGATTGTGTGCAAAATTTGTAATTTTTATACTAATGTAAATTGATCATTCTCTCTCTCTATATGAATGTTTGACTATTTTATTTTATTTTTTTCATATATCTCTTAAAACTCTAAATTTGTCCCAACGAAATCAGTAACTGTACAATTTGTCTACATAAGATGCAATGTCCCCAAATTTCATTAATATATCTATGAATAAAACTCATGCTAAATTTTTATGAAGAAAAACATTTTATAATTATGTAATTCGTTTCTTATTTTGGGTTTTATGCAATTATTATGGGCTTCAAAAGGTAAAAATAACGCCTTCTACAATTTCAGGCAATCTAATTCAGCCCACTAAGTAAAGCCCAGAAGATGAAAGATGGAAAAGAAAGTAAGTGTTATAAAACGAGACTCGGCATGAATAATTAGGGTTTCTGGGTGCGGCTGGCTACTAAACATCATCTGCAGCGGCAAGCTTAGCGAATTCCCTTTGAAAGAGAGCCCCAACCATGGCTGAACAAGTTTGTTACCTCTAACATCAATGGTTCATTGGTCTGGTTTTGGGTCTTCCATTGACTATATATAATTTCCTTTTTTTTTTTTTTTTTTTTTTTTGTTAAATTTGGTTTGCAGACCGAGAAGGCTTTTCTGAAGCAACCTAAAGTGTTTCTAAGGTATACTGTTACGTGAAAAATTCTTCATTTACTCGATTAATCTTCGTTTTTTTTGTGGGGTTGTTTGTTTTGTTTTGTTGGTGATTTTTTTCCCTTTCTTTCTCTCCCGATGCTTTTTGAAGCTCTAAGAAAACTGGGAAGGGAAAGAGACCTGGAAAAGGTGGGAATCGCTTTTGGAAATCCGTCGGGCTTGGATTTAAAACTCCCAGGGATGCCATTGAAGGTATATTCACTCTAATTTTATATATCAGATAAACTATCTGTACTGTGCTCTTTTCAGATTTAATGTCTTTCATCTTATTGTTATGACTGATGAATGTTGGTTTCGTTAATTTTTAATATAAAGATAAAATTTTGAGAATGTGGGGTGCTGGTTTATTTAATTCTAGAGCCATCTTCCGATATGGGGTCCTATCGCTTGTTGCATCCTAGTCATTTCTTTTACTTGCAAGATTTTATGAAGTTTTGTTGTCATGTTGGTATAATTGTTGTCTGTGCGGAAAGTGTTAACTTTAGTAATACTTGGTATATAATAATTAATAAAGCGTTCCGTACATTAGTTAGGAGGTGAATGCTGAGGACGGAGATGAGAGTTGAAAATTTAACCCTTATTTTTTTTTGGGGAATTTGTATGCCTAGATGATGCATTTATTTTGATGTCCTAGGATTCCAGGGAAGTAGTTCATTGAGTGAGGCACACTGAGAAAATAATATCTCTTGAGGTATGATGTTAGGTGATATATTCAATAGTATTTTTTTAGGTGGTTGTTTGCTCATGAACTGCAGTTTACATTGTTGTTTTTCGTTGGTGCTTAAACAAGCATTTTGAGGAGATGTGGAGACTGAAGTTTATAATGTGATGGACATTGTGTTATAGGAACCAAGGATTGGTCTATTTATGGATACGCCCATGTTTTTTGTTTAAGATAATGTAGATAGGAAGGTGTTATGTCATTTAAGTGTTGTAATCTAGCAATCAAGATTATGAGCAACAAGATTGTGCTCCTCAGTATCTTTATTAAAGCTCATTGTTCTATGGGAAAAGTGTTTGTCATTTTAAATGACATAAAGTTATGTCATTTTAAGAGAGATACAGACACAGAAAATTTGAATTTTAAATTAAAAAAACACCCACTTTCTCTCTCCCATGATTTCCGTTTTTCTGTGTCTATCTCTCTCCTAAAATGACATAACTTATGTCATTTAAAATGACAAACACCAAACCCTTGTTCTATTACTCATGTCATAATTTTCACATTCTTGTTTTATTCCACATGAAGTGTTTTTTTCCGTGTATTTATATATGGTCACTTGTCTCCCTTATGTTTCTAAACCAAGGCTTTTTTTTTTAATACAGGAACCTATATTGACAAGAAGTGCCCCTTCACTGGCAATGTTTCCATACGGGGTCGTATCCTAGCTGGTACTTGCCACAGTGCTAAGATGACAAGGACTATTATCGTTAGGAGGAATTATCTTCATTTTATAAAGAAGTATCAGAGGTATTCCCCTTTCATACCTGTGTGAGCAGTTTTGGTTATATTTGCATACTCCGATAACTATCTGTTTTTTGTTTGCTTGTATATTTAGATATGAGAAGCGACATTCAAATATTCCTGCACATGTATCGCCTTGTTTTCGTGTGAAGGAAGGAGATCACGTTATTATTGGTCAATGCAGGTTAAATTTTTATAGGAGAAATCTTTAATTGTTTATTGCAGTGGGAAACTTTTGTTTATTATATATTTAATCATCTGATTGCCTTTATTTGTGCCATATATATAGGCCAATCTCAAAGACAGTGAGATTCAATGTGTTGAAAGTGATACCAGCTGGATCTTCTAGTGGTGCGAAGAAGGCATTTGCGGGAATGTGAGATTTGAATTTTCAGTTCTCATTGATGGACAGAGTTACTATATAAGTTAGTAGAAGCCTCTGTTTCAAATATTTCAAGGTCAAGACATAAAAATCTGATAAATCTGATCAATTTTGAATATCTTTCAAGGCTTTGCTTTGATCTTTGAGTTGTTAAAAGTTAAGGATTTTGATATATATTATATCTTTTTTTTTAATATCTCGTATTTTTTGCTCCTCCATCCACTGCTCTGTGGACTCTCTAAAATCCTTGTTGGGTAAATAATGCTAGGCAACCTGGAAGATGAAAACTTAATTGAAACTTTTCAAGAGCGATGATGCTAAATGGGTTTATTTCAAATTTGTAGGGTCCTCTATAATACACTTCACTCCTCTTTTTATGTGCATGGAGGAATATTTTGTGATTATTTTTTTCTCAATGAACCCCCTTTTATGCTATCTTTGGAAGATCTTGAGTGAAGAGAAAAGGATGGAAAGGGAAGGGGGATGTGTGTGGAGTTACTTTTTCTCTGGATGTCTATCAATTTCCTTCGCCTTTTCCTTCTTCTCCTCCTCAACCATGGGTTCCACATCACTTTTCTTCTCTCCATAGGGTTTTTCTACGGGTTGAATGACTTTTCTGCTCCTACTGGTGATGGATTTACTTTGCTCTCTAGGATTGGTGATGGTATCTCCTGGAAAAATGTCGTGAGCTCTTTCAACTATCTGCCTTGACAAATGCCTGATTTGTGTCTCAAGATTCCTTATAAAGGCTTCTTGATTTCTGAATGCAGACCAGGTTTCTTGCATGAAGGAAGATGTATCTTCTCTACAAGTATTAGTCTTTGTATGTAGGTAGTCTTTAAGAGTTGTGCCAGTGCTCTCTCTAATTCTGAAGTAGTACTTTGTTGAGGGGGAGGTTGTTGCACTAGAGCAGGTGGTTGCAACTGATATGATGATTTATAGGAGAAATCGGGGTGGTTCTTCCACCTTGGATTGTAGGTGCCCCCTCTAAGCGTTGCCTTGGTTCCTCAGATTGTACCACACCCCGTCTACTTGAGTTGTCTCCGTTCCCCCAAGAGCATCACAATTGTTGCTGGCATGCTTACCTCCACAATATTCATAAATTGGCTGTTGTGCTTGAATAGCAGAAACTTGGGATTTCTCGAATATAGCTATGAGATTTGTTATTTGTTGAGATAAGACTTTTTGTTGAGCCAACATTGCATCATTGTTTTCCAATTGAAAAACTCTTTGGGTTGGGCTGAAGTACTTTCGTTCTCCAAAGAAGCCATGGACTCCATTCTTGATAATGAAGTTATTCCATTGAAGAAGATTCACACTTTTTGTCTCAAAGAAAGCTTATATTGAGGGCATCTCCTTAGTAAATCTTTAAATCTCTCCCATCTCCTTCTGGTTGGACGGAATTGATGATCTCATTTACCAATTGGTTGCTTTTCGTCATTGGGAAGAACGTGGATTAGAACTTAACAGTTAGATCATTCCTTGACGTGATACTGCCTGTAGGTTGTTAATTCCACGAAGTGATTTCTCCTTCAAGGAGAACTGGAAAAGCCTTAAACGAATGGCATCATCTGAAACACCATTCATTAGGGCTGTGCGTGGGTCAGGTCGGGTCAGGTTTTTGTCCGACTCGACCCAACTTGATTTTTATAGGTTAGGTATTTTGACCCGACCCGCTTTAATTTGATTCAAGTCAGGTTTGACTTGATTTAGATTTTGTTGAACTAGTTCAGAACTGGATCGGATCTGACCTGACTTGGTTTCTAAAGTGGGTCTGACTTGGTTTCTGAAGTGGGTCAAATCTAACCTGACTTATTTTTGACTTGGTTTCCTTACAAAATTTTGTCGAAATTTCTACATTGCAAATGACGAGAATTTCGTCACAAAATTATTTTTTCGTCGGAATACTTTTTGTCGAAAAGAAACACAATTTTTTCTCTAATGAAAATTTTTACAAGAATAAATTTTCTATCGAAATTTAGTTTCCGTCAAAAGTTTTGACGAAAATGATTTCTTCCATCAAATGTTTTAAACAAAAATTTTTTATCAAAAATTTTGACGGAATTTTTTTCGTTCAACGGAAATTGTTTCGAGAATAATGTTTACATTCGAAACTTTCGACGAAATTTAGATTCTCTAAAGAATTTTGACAGAATATTTTTTTCGTCAAAATTTTTTATCGAATTTTTTTTTTACAGAAATGTGTTCCGTAGAAATTTTGATGGAAATATTTTTTATCAAAAAACTTGACGAAAACATTTAGTTGAAAATTTTCGATGGAACGCTAAAAATTTCGACGAAATTTTTTTTTGTCAAAAATTTTAACGAAAATTTTTCCGTCGAAAACATTCGTCGGAATTTGAAATCTGTAAAGAATTTTGATGAAATATTTTTACGTCAAATTTTTTTGATGGAAATGTGTTGCGTCCAAATTTTTGATGGATATTGTTTTGAGGGAAATGTTTCATTTGAAACTTTCGACGAAATTTAGATTCTCTAAAGAATTTTGACAGAATATTTTTTCCGTTAAAATTTTTATCAAAATATTTTTTGTCAAAAATTTTTACGAAATTATTTTACAGAAATGTGTTCCGTTGAAAATTTTGATGGAAATATTTTTTATTAAAAAACTTAACAAAATATTTAGTCGAAAATTTTCGGTAGAAATGTGTTTAGCTAAAAATTTTGACGAAATTTTTTTTGGTCAAAAAGTTTACTGAAACTGTTTTCGTCGAAAACTTTTGCCGAAATTTGAAATCTGTAAGGAATTTTGATGAATTTTTTTTCGTCAAAAAATTTCGATGAAAATGTGTTTCGTCGAATTTTTTGATGAATATATTTTTTTGTGAAATATTTTGACGAAATTTAGATTTCGTAAAAAATTTTGACAAAAAAAAAAAAATTCCGTCAAATTTATTTACAGAAATGTTTTTAGTCACAAATTTTGATAAAAAAATTTTGCGAAATTTTTTTATGGAAATATTTTTCGTAAAATTTTTTGACGTAATTGTTTTACGTTAAAACTTTTCTTTTAATGTAATTGTGATTTTCTTTTTTTTTTCACATAATGAGTATTGGTCAAGTTTTGGGTCAATAGGTCAATATTAAAACAAGTCAGGTCTAAAATTGACCCAAATAAAAGTGAGTCAGTATTTAAACCAGTTCAAAAAATATAGATATTTATGGGTCAGGTCAAGGGCAGGGCAAGTAAACTAATTTTTTTGCACACCCCTACCATTCAATAAGAATTTGTCAAGATGAAGGTCTTCTACATCGTCGGCTCAAAATTCATTTTGCTGGACCACTGAAAGTAGCATTGGCTTGATTTCAAAGTTTTTTGCAGCTATATTCGGTTTTATAATACTTGACGTGGCCCTAAGAAAGCATGGAGTGAATCAACGGTTTAGGAGGTGCAGATAGATTTTCTGTCGTAGTTTCTTCCTTTGGCAAAGTCGAACTTGATGCTTCTCTTTGCTTCTTTTTTTTTAGTGTTTTTTTTTTCTTTTTTGGGATTTTCTCTATTTCTAGATCGAATTGCAAGGACGGGGTGAGCGTTGCATAAACTAGAAAATAGAATTAAATAAACTAAAACTAAAATATAATATCAAAAATAGAATTTAAGTAACATAAAATAAAAGTCCAATCTAAAGAGTCTATAGTTATTACTAATGTTGAAATATTTGATCCCAACAACTGCGTTAAAAATTTATTGCAACTTTGGCAAGTGCATCGATTATAATATTAATTAAGTGTATTGGAGTATGAGATTGTTCCCACGAGGATTAAAATTTCAATTACTAGTTTAGTATTTTCGCTTTATTTGGACAACCAATGATGAGAATGTTTGAATTAAAATTTAAAACTAGCAATAACAAAATAACATAATTAATAACACAATAAAGTAATTTGAAGGTTGTTTTGACAATCATAGGAAATGCTCTTAGGATTTCGATTTCCCCTCATTTTTATTTTTTATGTTATGAATTAAACCCTTTAGTAATATCCCTTAATATATTATCAATTGATTCCTCTAAATTAATTAGGATTCAATCCTTTGGCACACAAATTCTTTATAATTTTGAAAGAATATTCCCCATCTTTTCCCTAAGAAGATAAGATTAGGAATCATAAAGATTGCATAAAATCTTATGACTATCCCTAGAATCATAAGGATTACGATGAATTTATCATGCAAGGTTCATGCACCCACATCTCTATTGTCATACAATCACCCTAAACTATTCTACAAGATCAAACTCATAAACGACACTAAGAATAGATAAATTCATGCAATATAAAAAAGAAAATTACAATAAATATTTAATCCATAATCATAAAGGTTCAATTAGGTTCTATCTAATCCTAATTATAAAGAAATTTAGTCTAGCATAACGAATTCAAAAACACAAGAAAACGATAAAGTTTACCAAACTCCATTTGTGTGATGGTGTTGTGAATTTTCAAAGTTCCCAGTGTATTCTTGAATTCCACTTGCCTCATGTGCTCCAAAGCATAAGGACACGCTTCAATGACCAAAACAGATTCAACACTTCAAAATCGTTCCAAAGTCCTTAATTGGTTTTCAAATCCCTTTTGTATGTGTAAGATCCGTGCCCTATGTTAATTCCACAAATTGGGCCTGAGTTGAATTGCAACAGGGCACTAAAGCACTGATTAGCATGCTTAAGTGCTCCAGAAATATATACAAAATCGTGCGAGCGTGCTAAAACGCTCAGGAGCACGCTTTAGCACGCTCTTCGAAGGAGAATTTTTGCATCATGCCTTGTGTTAGCACGCTCCAGCGCACTCTTCCATAAGAGTTAGTTATTTCCTAAGTCTTGAATTTTCTCTTGAAACACACTTTATGGACTTCCTTAATCTTCAATCTTGTACTGCAAGTCCTTTAACTTAATTCTTACTTCAATTTACATCAATTTACCTTCAAAACAAGTAAGAATCAGTTATGTTAGTTCCTAATTCAACCTTTTTAATCAAATAATCCTATGTTTTCATATCTTTGACTATATAATTAATGTGATATTAGCCTTAAAAACATGATAAACTAAATGTTTATAAGATTGTAAACCTCAAGAGCTCTTCAACTACACCCTCAAACATCTTTTTCCACTTTTTACAACATGTGTATCAGAACATCAGTCCTCATTTAAGATTAACAACACA